CCGGCCCCCTTCCCTGCCGATGCAGGGGGTCGGACTCGATGATCTATTGAGGTCCCTTCCGGCCCTAACATCTATGAATCTATGAAAATGCAGGTGCTAACATCTGTGTTATGGTTAACAAATGCTAGTGATCAGTCAGGACAGTGGTCCTTCAGTTGCAGGGCTCAGCAGGGGCTGGATCTGGGCATGCAGGGTTGGAGTGTTCTGGAGGTACCCCAGAAACAGGCAGGGAGGAAGAACACCCCCAGCATGGTCTCCAGCCTTTTTGGGATGATTGGACCTGCAGGGAAATGATGGTGGGGCGAAGGGGGTGTGGAATAGGTGTGACAGGGGAGCAATCCAGGAGTAAAGGGGTTGATTCATGGGTCAGGGGGCAATTATGTGGGCAGAGGGAGCAGTAGCTCAGCAGCTCCTGTCTGCATATGCTACTAAAGGGGAAGCCACAGACCTAGAAAGGTACACTGATGACTGCAAGCTGATTACAAGCAGGTTTCTTGCAGTAGCATAGAGGCCCAAGGTGGAGGTTAAGACTTTGAGTTATAGACTGGTTGGCTTGTGTTTTTGTTCATTTGACTGAGGCTTAGGAGTGGCTACAGGGGAGGTTGGAGGGCACTCAGTGATTTGATCCCTGCAAGGCACAGGTATACAGAGGGCTGAAACTCATATTTGAGCCCTTCAAGGGTGAGGGCCCCTAGGGGGCTGAAACCAAGATGGAACCAGAAGGAGTTGAAGTAAGACCCATGATGCACAGGTGTGGCCATAGGGGAGGAGGCTGGAGGCCACGATTAGGGTCAGTAGACCACAGTTAGTGCCAATAAGGCACAGAATTTTTTTTAGTTAGAAGACTTAGGGTCCAGGTAAGTGAGTGGAGTGAGACCAAGTGCAGATCCTTTAGGCTGGCTCTAGGACTCTGGGGACAGCTTCAAAAGTAATAGAAAATGTGTATCAAGATGTGACAAGTGAAGCAGAGAGAGGGTACCCTGGGAAGCTGGAGTCAGGCAGGATTACTTCAGCAACCATGTATGCTCTCAGGGGCTGGTCCTACTGTACCAGTTAAAGTATACCACAGCCTTGGCTTCAGCCAACACCCTATGCTTCTGAGAAAGATGAAACCCCCCCTGAAACCTGTAGCAACAGGAGGGGGGTGGAAATTCCTTCCTGATCCCATGTGACAACCAGCAAAGCTCAGAAGCATGGCAAATACTAAAACATCATTCATTCTGCTCTGCAGCTTGGGTACAGCATATCACATACACACTAACTGGACACCCAGAACTCCCCTTTCTGTACTTCTTCCATAAGTTTTATCCCAGTTCTTTTAATCTTCTTTTCATAACTAAGCCAAATTGTGGAGCTCTTCATTCTCCTACTGCTGAATATGGTCCTCTCCACCTGTTTCAAGCTGTATGCTCTTCTCATTATCTTCCAGCAATTTGTTTGGTGTGTCTCTGTGTATGGGGGAGGTGGGGGCTCCTAGTTACAGTATATATCTACACTATGTTTTGTAAAAATTAATAATATTTGTTTCACATGCCTGATAAATATTGCAAGCAAAATAGTTCATTTCAGCTGGTTATTTGAGAGAAATTATGGCTGTGGAATAGTGTTCTGCATAGGGTGACCATAAGGAAATCTAGGACACAGCTGCCGTTCGCCCCCCTGCCCCCACCAATCAGCTCCACTGCTCCAGGCAGTGGTAGAAGCCAGCAGGCACAGTCTGATACACTGAGCTGCCTGGTGCACCATGATCCTGCACATCCCTGCTGGATTATGCCCTGCATCCCTGAGATTCTGGGACCTCTGTTTAAATTTTGACCAACTGGGTGGGACCAGCCTACAAAATCTGGGACTGTCCTGGCCAAACCAGGATGTATGGTCACCTAGCTCTGAACAATTTTCCAGCTTGGCTACATTAAAAAATTTCAGTTATTTTTTCAGTTACTGCAAAATACCTGAATTTCTTTTAGATAAGTTATATCGTAATTATGATGTAATGAATTCTACATGAATTAAAATAAAGTTTAATGACTTTTGTGGAGATTCTCCAAAATAGTAACGGGATATTTTTCGTTCTCCTAATTTTGAAGTAATATGGTCAGTTCATTTAAGGGCTTCATTGTTAAATTGGCTCTGCTTCACTGTTTTATGTCAATATTTTTAGGGATGACATTGGAATAATGTCTTGTGATGACATCAGCAAATATGGAAAGTCTGGAATGAAAGGCTCTGAATCTCCAAGCTACTTTCTAGAGCATGAAAGTGGAAAGTATTACTCATTAATTGAAGGTGAGGGCCATCCCATGGGCTCTGAGTATGAGAGAGGCAGAACAACAGGGGTTCGGAGAAGAGAAAAGACACCCACTCATGGTATGCTTGTTTTTTGACCTTTCAAAGTTGACTAAGTTAACAAACTGTATTATTAACACACTTACCAAGTTACAGTAACATATTTAAATTATGACCTATTTGGGACTTAAAACTTTATATGTGCTTACTATAAAGTTTGACTGAATATTACTATGACCAAAGGGTTAACATTCAGGATTATAAATGTCACAGTTTCTATAAGCCAGTTATACAATAGCTGCTTTGAACACAAAAGACTATGAATGAAAGTAACTAAAAATATTTGTATGTGCAGAGAGAGAGATCTCTTTCATTTCCTTCCTCACATAATGACTTCTACACTGAGTGGGTAGCTATGTTAATCTGAAATCAGACAGAAGGTAGGGCAGGGTAACACCTTAGAGTAGAGATTTGCAACCCTTGACACATGTGCCAGAGTGTGGCATGTGAAGGCATTGTGCTTGGCATACATACCTCAGGATGGACAGCAGGAGAGCTACTAAGGGCCCAATCCTTGTTGTTGCCGTGCAGCCATGGCCCCTTCCCCACCATCTGCTTCAAAGTGTGTGTGCACCTGCTGCCAGTAATGAGCTGAGCCCAGACTCTACAAACCCCAGTGCAGCTGCTCACAGCCTCCTTACCACCTGCTGAGAGTAGCTGGGGCTCCATGGCAGGTACACACACCTTGGGGTGGACAGCAGAACAAGGGCCAGGACTGTACTGCCATAATGAGGATAGGGCCCCTCGTGCCTCCCCCACCATCCACCACTGGCACACCAACATCTTGCAAGTCAAGATTGCAGGTGTTTTTGGCGCACTACCCAAAAACATTGCCAACCCCTGCCTTAGGGTGCCTATACAGAGGCAGGGAGGCTGCTCTGATGCACTGTAATTATAGTGCATTGGAGCAGACTCAATTTATAAAGTCTGCTAGCAGGGTAATTACCACACTCCAGCATCCTACAGCATCTCATGTGTAAGTGTCCCTACGCTTCAACATGACAGCAGGAGCACTTTATCTAAAGCTCATCTGACAAGCTTTAGATAAAGCTCCTCTGCCTCCATTTTAAAATATGGGAATGCTGATACATGAAACACTCTGGGCGCTTTAATTAGAGCTGCTCTAATTACTGGGTTACTGAAAAATTTTTGTCTGTCTGGAAAAGGCATTATTAGAAGATAAAAACACTGGTAAAATGTAATGTCATTCCTAATTTAACCTTGTAGAAAAAGTGTCTAATTACATAGGCCCAGATTCCCAATGGGACTTTATATAACAAAGCCCAGCATTGCCCCAACTAACTTTTAAATGCCCAGTCAGGTAGTGCAGTTCACAAATACAGAGTGCAAAGAATGGGAAGAGCTAGGCATTCAGTATTTCATTCATAACACCTTCACAGAATGAAGGGATGACCAAGCCTGCTAATAGGAAACACTGAAGACAAGGGTCTTACTAAAGTCCTGCCCTCTTCCTCAATTTACCTGAATTCTTCAAGGCTGTAGTTAGGTGACTATGTGACACTGGTGGGGCCCCTGACTTATGTTGCATTTATTGTGTAATTAACTTGTTAATTACACCGTGAATTAAGACATGCTATGGAGGCAAAGTAATTATTGTGCAATAAAAATGGCCAACCAGTCATAAAGATATTGCTTGAAAAAGGTAGAACATTTTTGTAGGTGGTTTCTATAAAGCTTTCCTGTGCATATGGCATGTCACACACATGGCGATAGTGCTTGACCAGGTTCTCCAGCATCCCAGGGACTCTTTGTGACTCATGCTGAACTCTGCTGTCCCAGGTGCCTCAACAGGAGATGTCATGACACAGCACCTCCTCCCTGTCCCAAACCAGCCTTCAGAGCTGCTTCTTTAAGGAGCCATTAGCACCTGTCAGAATCAAAGTATGAACAAACAGTGAATATGACATGCTTTATTTACACACAATAGTAATTTGAGAGAAGCTGAGAGAATTTGTTTGCAAAGCTGCTGAAAGACAGAAGATGAGGAAAGAGGAAAAGCACATACACAAATGCACCTTAATAAGGTGTTCAAGGAGAGTTTGAGACCTGATACTCCTGTGCCCCTACCTTCCCCCCTAGCCCCCACCCGCACTTTTTCATGGGCCTCCTTTGCTCTGCACTAGGCCTAGAGGAGCAGCTTCTTCTTCCAGAAGGAGCTCAGAGCTTACTTCTCATTAGCAGCTCAGCTGAAGGTGTGGAACAGGGACTAACATCTCCTGCAAGCAGCTCTCCAGACTTCTGGCAGAGAACGTTTCCAGGGCACACTTCCCACTTTGGATAGCTTGCCGTGTGAATGTGAAGCAAGTCACATGGCATGACATTTTCCATCATGCAACATTACTTGTTTCTTGAAGTCAAAGACTTCTGCCAGGAGCCAGGGATTCATAGTCAAAAAACATTTCCTTCATATAGTTAGTTAAGTTGGTCCTTGGCTATGGACAATTTCTTACTCTCTTTTCTTTTCAAACATGGCTGGAGGAGGAGGAAGCAGCAGTGGTGTAACCACCTTTTTATGAAAAGAAAGTGGTTAGAGCACTTGCCAAGGAAGTGAGACAGTTGAGCTCTAGCCACAGGGGATTCAAATTATTCTCCCACTTCCCAGGAGTGTCCTAACTACTTATAGATTAATTGAGGCACTTTCTGTTACTCCTGTTAAAGTTCTGCCATTGGGACAATACAAGATTCATGAGGCCGTATAAGAAGTAAGCAAGACAGAACATGACTTTATAGCCATATTATGATGTCGCTTCCTCAGGAGTGGCACTCTTGAGTTCTGGGCCCTGCTTCACGGACTGTTCATGCCTTTTGCATTAAAGAGTCATTGCAGAGAGTTATGAACAGTGTTGGAGTTGGGGACCAAAACCCATTTCTTAAGATTTTCAGGTCAAGAATTATATTTTTTTCTCATCATAGTGTTTGCAGATTTTAAAGGGCTTTCTCCAGTTTTTACACCAAATAGAAACATTTCTTGGAATTTGAACTTATGCGCCCAATGTATGAAGAAATGATATCATGTTCTCCTTATGATTTGACAGTTAAAATGGACATTTTGACTAGGCAAAAAAGAACAATTTATTTTCATCCTCTTAATGGCAGTCTTTCAAGGATTTAAAACTTGTATTGTGTCCCACCTTTAGCATTTCTTCAAATTAAACATATCTAGTTCCTTCCATCTTTCCTTAAATAGCTTGCATTCCAACACCTTTATCATCTGTTGCCCTTGGATCCTTTCCAATATGTTTGCATCATTCTTAAAATTGCATGGACACAGTACTCCAGTTGAAGGCTAATCAGTGCCAAGTGGAGTGCTACTATTGTATAATGTCTCTTAATGCAACACAGAATTGCATTTACATTTATGATCCAACAACACCATATGGTCAATTCATGTAATGTTTGTGATCTCCCAGAATCTCTTGGCGATGGCAAGTCAGTTATGCTCATTTTGTATTTGTTCATTTGGTTTTTTCCTCCCTAGGTATAACAAGTTACATTTCTCTGTATTGAATTTAACTTTGTTTTAAATCTGATCAGTATACTTTCTATTCCCATATCCAGGACATTAATAAAAATGTTTCACAGTGTTGAACCTAGAACACATCCCTGTAAAACTTCTTTTAAGAATTCTTGCCAGTCTGACCCTAATCCATTTGCTCTTTGCTTCCTCAATTAATTCAATTAAATTTTTATTTTGGTACACAGTTGATACAGTGCACCATGCTGACTGTTGTACCAGTTTCATTTCTGCTTCTTTCAGCAAGTATCTAAACTAAGTCTCCTCCACTTCATCTAATTGGTGCTGAAGACAAAGATCAGTGCCAAGAGTCTGACTTGGAGCTATACTTGGGGGGTTTTTTCAACAACAGAAGGGGCAACAGATGGTCTCAGATGTTCTTACAGTAAATTTTGATGATTAAGAATAGGAATTATCTCTCTTAATTCCCAGAGCGCTATCCTTTATGAATAGAATCCTGGATGATAGGGGTTTTGAGGAAGGAGCAAAAATGACATATTTCATAGATTTCATTGACATTAAGGTTGGAAGCGACCTTGCAAGATCATTGGGTCCAGCCCCCTGCCCAAGTCAGCTGGGGTCAGAGTTCTGGTTGGAGAACTTTGAAGCTGGATGCTCTTATGGATTTCTCCATTAAAAATGACACTTCCAAAAATGCTAATATAGTTTTCTGTGTTTGTGTTGAAAAAGGTATGAAAACCATACATTTTGTGCAGTTATGAAAATCTTTATTTGGCCATCATGTAAGCCAATATTACACTGCATGATGAGCAGTTTGTGATAACTAGCAATTTTTCCTCCAGTTCCAATATTGAGATTCACTAATTCTAACTTCTTCTTCTTGCCGCTGACCTCAAACAAACAAAATATCAGATGAAAAATAAATACATTGACAGTAAATTATAAATTATGTATTTATAAAAAGAACATTAGAAGTTAATGGATTGCTTTAGGTTGCTGCCAAGGGTGATAAAGAGGAATCTGCATAATAGACACAGTTGCTCTGTCCTTTGTTTCCATGAGAGTAGGAATGGAAGATGTACAGAGCCTTAAAGTATATACATATTTTAAAATCTTTCTTTACTTGTCTTGCTTTTCACTTCCAAGTTTCACTCTAGAGTTACACTTATAGGGTAATTTCAAAACATTTTATCAAAATGCATTTAACCTGTTCTGTCTTTTTTTTTTTTGCCTTCAGAGGGAGCTTTGACTTGGTTTTTCACGAAATTATAGAAAATGTCTTAGTACTTCTAATAATTTTAACCAAGGGAAGACCTGAAGTGGGAAAAGTTTGGATGTAGTTTTAAAACAGTCTAAAGTTTACTTCTGCAGTGTTTTTTGTATCACAGTAAATATCGCTTATTTATAAAATTTAGTTTGGGATATGAAATACTCCTAGATGTTCAATCTAGGTTTTTATTATTTTGAGTAAACTTACAAATGTGAGAAGTTCATTTCAGTTTATATATTGTTATTTTAATGTGAG